ACACCAGGGCCCCCAGAGCCAGGTTCAGGAACACAGATGATATGCTGAGAGTAGGGGACAGAGAGTGACCAGTTTCAATCAAGGGAGTAGAAGGATCAGATTTGTGTTTTGAAGACTGTTTTTGTCTGCAATGAGGATAATAGATTTGAAGAGGGAAAGAGTAGAAGCAAGAAGAAAGAGTTAGGCTAATATAACTGATTTGGTGACAGAGGATGGCCTGAACCGAGGAAGTGCAGAGGAATGGACAGGTAAGAGAGGTATTTAGAAAATGAAATGGCCAGGACTTGGTAAGTGAATGGGCAGAAGGGGTAGGAGAGGAGTCAAAGACTGTGACCAGCATTCTGGCCTGTGCTGATGGGTGGATGGAGCCAGGAATGGAAGGGTGAAAGCTGGTTTTGTGGGAAAGACATGTTTAAAATGACAGTGGGACATCTGAGTGAAGATGTCTAGCAGATGGAGATATGTGGTCATCAGCCTCCATGTAGCTAAAGAGTAACAGAGTGAGAATTGGACCTAGGGACCACCAACATGGAAGGGGCAGGTGGAGAAAAGAGAATTGAAAAAGAAGATTAGGAAGAGGTAGTCATAGAAGCAGGAGGAAAATCAGGAGAGGATGGCATCATGGACACCAAATGATGAGAGCATTTCAAGGTGATCAGTGTGAAAAGCTGCCAAGAGGTCAACGAGACAAGGACTTAACACAAGGTAGTTTCTGGCAACCATGGCAAAAACAGAGGAAGTGGAGTATAATGGGAGCAGAAGGGGCAGTTCTAAATCCTACACCAGCAAAACTGCAAATGACTAGACAGTCTACATGGCTAGGATAACTTGTGAAAAGTAAACAACAAAATGACCTATAAACACATAACAGATGAAGTAAGAAAGAAGACTTATCATTTCTTTACAAACCACTGTCAACCACCCACCAACATAGGATATGCTCAGTATCTGAAATTTCAAGGGGAAAAACATCCAATGTCTGAACAAAAAAATTAAAATTCCTAAAATATTAAACAAAAAGACTATTCATTCTGATGTTTGGGCGCTGAATTTGGCATAAGCACCTCTAAAATGCCAAGCCCGTGAGCTACAACAGCACGGGCTCAGGTCCCTAAAAGCCTCCGCCAGTACCTAGAGGCCACCCCCTCCTCCAATCAGGCAGGCAGGGACTTGAACACAAGGCCACGGAGAAAGCTAGAAGACAGCAAGGTTGCCACCAGCACATTAACACTGCAAAGCGAGGGGAATTAGTCACCTGGCCTAACCTAGCACCATGCCCAATCCACATCACCAAGAACCTTCACTTCAAATCCCCTCATCTACATGACTAATTCAGGTTGGCATTTTGCCTTCTGGGACGTGGAGTCCAGCCAAACCATGCTGACAGGCATAAGAAGGAAACCTAAGAACTGAAGAAAGAAAAACACATGAGCCATGAAAACCACAGACTGCTGTCCCAAGAAAGGCCCCTTGCTCTCAGCTTAAACAGAAGGCAATGCTCCAAACAGGAGGGGGGGACCTTCACTGATGCCAAACAAACATTAAGGGAATCAGACTGTTGCAGATTATTACAATGAACTATTAAATCCATTCCAAGTCATTCAGGTTACAGAAAAGAGAAGGAACTTGCCCAAGGTCACACAGAGTTTGGCTGGACCTGGGCGAGAACCTGTCTGGTTTTTTTCTGCACTATACCATTAAGTCCTTCTAATGGCCAATCGCTGCCAAATACTTATGTGTAGCCCTGGCTCTCCCCAAAGCTCCAGACCCATATATCCTACCATCTCTTTGACACCTCCTCTTGGCTATCTCAAAAGCTCAAATCCCAACATCCAACAATGAACTCATATCTTTCCCCAATACTCCCAACACCAATTTTTCATCCAGGGCTTCTTAGCTTAACAGATGACATCACCATCCATCGAGTTCCTGAGCCAGAGATGAAGGAATTGTGTTCAGTGTTTGAACTCCAGCCCTACCACTTCCGACCTGTGACCTTGAGCAAATTAAACAGTCTTTAAACCTCAGGTTTTGTCATCTGAAGAATGGGATAACAACAGGAATTACCTTGTAAGACAGCTGTGAGCATGGAAAGAGATGAAGTGTATAAAATGGTAAGCACATAGAACATGTCTTTGTATGTGAAGTTCCCTCTATCTTCTTGCCTGCTCCCCCCAATCCCACCCCCTAACCTGGTTAACACCTATGAATCCTTCTCGTTTCAACTCGAATTTATTCCCCGCTAGAAGCCTTCCTTGATGACCCCCCACCTGCCAAGGGCAGGTCATAACACTGCCTCTTAATTTTTCATCCTCAAAGTACAGCAAAATTTCTATTCACCTCACATATCATAATTATATATTTACTTTGTGATGATTTGATTAATGGCATCTCCTCCAATAGCTTATAAGCTCCATGAGGGCAAGGAATGGGAGTGCTACATTTTTGTATTTTTGTATTCTCAATACAGTACCTGGCACTTAACAGATGTTTAGTAAATATTAGTTGAGTGATGTGCACAAGAAGCACGTTTATCAGCAGAAAAATGGACCTAGAGATTAGAAGAGAAATTACAGGACACCAATCCAAGGAAGAATCCATGGCGATCCCATCCAGGCAGACAAGTAGAAAGGGTCCAGTGAACCCCGTCTGACCACTGTAAAGTTCATGATTTGCTGCTTGTTGGACCATCATTCCAACCATTCAGGATTTGCTCTCCACATTACTAGAATACATTCTTCAGAAACATGCACAGCCATACCCTCGAGATTTTTTAAATGAATCCCAGTCCCTCTGATACCTTTCCTAATGTAACCCTCACTCCACAGTGGATGTAATTCTTGTGTTTAAAGACACATACTTTTGTATCACAGGACCTTTAAACACAGCCAACTACCACATCTGGGGCTCAGCTGAAGAAACAGCTGTCTGTTTCAACTTGGGGATAAAACTGAACTCTACTGGACCTAGGAGAGAATGGCATCTTGTCTCTCCAATGTGGTACCAAGAAAGGATTTTCAGGAATATTTTTTACTACACTCAATGTTTGTTTATGCAGCAACTCTAGAACCTAGCCTCCTTATACTATAGGACTCTAATATATTGCAAAATATTTTAAAGTACAGGGTTTTTTGTGTGTGTGTGTGTGTGTGTGAGGAAGATCAGCCCTGAGCTAACATCCATGCCAATCCTCCTCTTTTTGCTGAGGAAGACTGGCCCTGGGCTAGCATCCGTGCCCATCTTCCTCCACTTTATATGGGACGCCGCCACAGCATGGCCTGACAAGCAGTGCATCAGTGCGCACCCGAGATCCGAACCCCGGCTCCCAGCAGCGGAGCACGCACACTTAACTGCTATGCCACGGGGCTGGCCCCTAAAGTGCAGGTTTTGACATTGGGCAGGCCTGGGTTCAAATGATGGTTCTGCCACCTACTAGTTATGAATGAAACCTTAGACCCATTACTTGACCTCTCTCAGCCACAGTTAGCTCATCTGTACTAAGAGATAAAACAGTACTAGATCCTATGATTGTAGGAAGCATTAAATATAAACACACAGCATATGGCTACATTATTATCTTTAAGAAAGTTCTTTGTACAAAGAGTACCAACTTAGAAGATAAAGTTCTGTACCACACCTAATACAGAGCCCCATTCCCAGAGGGTATTCCGTGAATACCACGATCTTGTTTAGCCTTTGTTTATTCTGTTTGAGACTACCAGCCACTTCTTTATGGGAGTATCTGACACCATCCTTCTATTTTGAGTAGAACTGCCTGCACACAAATGATCCTTCTTTCTAAGTTGGACAACTGAAATGTTATACAAACCATGCTACTTCCTCTTGTCTTAGGGTCAAACAGTACTGTTTTCATAATTTCTCTTATGCAGACATACATGCACACACACACACACACACACAGAAACACAAGCACAACCTTTTTTGAGAGGATGACTTCCTCAGCACAGGACTCAGAGATACTACACAAGATAACAGTTGCAGACACAGAAAAAATAAGAGCTCTTTATCCAAAGGAAAACACTGGAAAAAGGGAAGCTGACATTTTCTAAGCTGTAGTATAGCCAGGAGAAACTGAGATATCACTTGTGCTTCTGCCATAATATTTCTTTTGTATCTATTACATATAGGAAACAGTAGTTGCTGTCACTTGTAAAATAACTGTTCCCCAAACAGCATTGGATTAGGCACTGAGAGAGAATACAGAACTACCTCTGCCTTCCAAAAGCTTGCAACATAATTGGAGGCACAAAACAAATGGGCAACAGCTAACTATGCACTGAATGAGTAACAATCTAGCCATTTGTGACAACATGGATGGACATTGAGGGTATTATGCAAAGTGAAATAAATCAGAGGGAGAAGGTCAAATACCTTATGATTTCCTTCATTAAGTAGTAGATAATAACAACAATAAACAAACACATAGAGACAGAAATTGGATTGGTGGTTACCAGAGGGGAAGGGGGGAGGGAGGAGGGCGAAAGGGATAATTCGGCACATGTGTGTGGTGATGGGTTGTAATTAGTATTTGGGTGGTGAACATGATGTAATCTATGCAGAAATAGAAGTATAATGATGTACACCTGAAATTTATACAATGCTATAAACCAATGTTACTGCAATAAACAAAAAATTAAAGGTAAAAAAAAAAAAAGAATAAGGCAGAGATAAGAGGTTGTTTTGGAAAAAGTAAAGCTCTCCTGAAGGAGGTGCCTAGTGATTAAGCAGATGAAGGTGGAAGGGCATTTTAGACAAACCAAAGACCAAGAACTAGCCTGGATTAGTCTAGAGATACTGAGGAGTAGAAACAAACACAGTAGAAAAGATTTAGGAAAATATACAAGTGATAGAACAAGAAATACAATATTTGTATGAGGGGCAGTTTTATTTCTTCTTTGCAAAAAAAAAAGGGGGGGGGGGCCATCAAAAAGCCATGTCCCCAAAGTCTCCCAGTGGCATAACCCCACAAAATCACTTACCCGGATAAGGGAAGCCTGATGCCGAGGGGGCTTGGCTCCTGGGCCCCCCGATGAGGCTCCCTCAGGCTGGACAAGGGGCTGTCGAGCTTCATAAGGAGCTGAAACAGCAGGAGGGAAAGTCAGCATGGTACACAAAGATTTCACCCAAAAATCATGACTTCACACTAAAACTGATACAGTGCCTGCTCTTTGGGGAAGAATTAGCAAAGGAATTGAGTTTATATGCTTAGGGCCACCTAGGACAAACAAACCTTGGTGCCCTTAGGTACAATTTAAACAATCTAAAGACATTCAACCAATTTATGATAAGGCAGGAAAATATTTACATCAAATTAATTATTAAATTTTCAGAACATTTAATAATTACCCTGCCGATATGGCAGGAAAACAGTTAAACATAACCAGGTAGTATTCAGCTCCCACAGAAAGGAGAAATTATCACCCAAGTTGAAACCATTTCTGACCTCTTTGGGTGAACAGTTCGAGTTTTTGAAAGTATATAAATAAGTAAAATGCTTTCTTTCTGTAGATTCCTTATAAATAAAATGAGGTAGAGAGAGCAAAGCAGCCTGTTATGGTGTCACATTTAGCATAGTCGGATCTTTTTAAAATAAAGAAGGTATAACAACAGCACATCAAGAACAACAAACCACTCTCGGGCTCACATCTGCTTTTTGTATTTCCTCCAAGCAATGGAAACACAACATTATAACACGTTAAAATACATTAAAATATCAAAATCATTGCCTGGAAAACCATTAAGTAAATTTTCAGACCCTGGTAAGAATGGATAAAACTACAAAAACTGCAAAAGAAACATACACAGAGAGTACATAATCCAAATCTTAAAAAATAAGTCTCAGCTAGTAGGCACGTGTTGCCTTTGGAGAAGGAATTTTAAGATCATTCCATTTTGATGGAACACTGAATTAAACTCCTCATGCTGGAAGGTTTGCACCACAGTAAACTGTACCACAGTTGCGATACTAGTGGTCATGAGCTTTCCCTGGGAAGCTAACCCCACTCGCCTCTGGTTCCCCTTTGAGGGAAGGAGCTTATACTGCCTAGGAGGGACATGTGTGGGGGAAGACTATCTGGCCCTTGGCTCCAGTCTCTCACCTACAAGAGCTTTCCCTCAAAAGAGACAGATACATCTCATCAGTTAGGCTTGAACGAAGATTCAGCTGCGTGGGAGGTCATTTTTGGAGAGGCCTGGACTCACGGCAGATTTTCTCTTCCTACTCCTCTGGGAAGCCTGGGTTGGCCTCGTTTGCCTGTGACTGGAAAGGTGAGTGTCTAAAGCCCATCTGGTCACAAATCTAAGATACATGCTCCAATCAGCTCTATCAGTACCACAGCTGATATTCAGGCCACCCTCCATCTGACTCCTGCCTCATTCCTCAATCGGATCTGAACTCAGGAGGTAAAAAGGTAGATGTTACTTATTGCTTCTACTCTCCCTCCTCCCAAATAAAACCCAAAACATGCAACTCAATGCAAAATAAACAATTCTTAGATCCCTTTATGAGAGATTTAATAAGGAACCAGAAGTACTATCCTTCTCCAAGGGGGAGGAGTATAGAAAGAAGCATAAAGATTTTATCACTCTCAGATTCAGTGTCAAACCGGAACAGAGACCACGAGTAACTGCACACTAAAGACTGCAGTCAACCCAGTGAATGATATCCAGAAGATGACTTTCAAGAACACTTAAGAGCTTCAAGAGTAAAACAGGTACCAGAGTGTAAAAACACAAAAGAAAATATAAGGGAATATTTGAGCATCTACAATGTGCCAAGATCTGTGCTAGGCAAAGATGTTTATATAACATGTCTCATTAGATCCACAGAGCAAACCTCTGAGGCAGAGATTATTCCATTTTACAGATAAGGGAAACTGAGGCTCAGAAAAGTGAAATACCCATAGAAACACAGGCTAGAAATGGACAGAAATGTAGGCCCACCAACTCTATCTTTAGGCCCAGGAGACTGACATCACAGCCCATGCTCTTAAGTCAGGAGATAGCTAGAAGTGATTCATGAGAATAAGAAAAAGCAGAACTGACATACTGATTTGAGATAAGACATTAGCTATCAGAAGGAAGCAGGTAAGAGTTGAAAGTAGTTGCCTCTGGAGATCAGAAACAAGTTGGGTAGGAAGGAGAATAGTTGTTTTTACTATAGGCATTAAAGTATTATTGAACTATATGCATGTATTACTGTGATTTAAACATTTATTTAAATATAGATAGCAATACCTGCCTCTGAGGGTTGTGGTAAGAAGAAAAGAATGCACATAAAGACCTCTGCATGATTCCTGGCGCATAAGTCTCACCCAACGAACAAGAGCGATAGCTACATCCCACAGGTGATACTAGCAGGAGCCCAGGGGAGAAGCTGAAGGGGGGCTCTGAATCACAGACTGGTCTGAAAATGCTCAGTCTGATTTAAAACACAGTCACACACATGCCCCACCAGCCTGGAATCACGACAGAGTCCTGGACAGGGAAATGATCCCAGAAAAACGTATTCCTAGAAAATTATCCCAGCAGCAAAACTCCTTTCTGAAAAGGCATAAATTCATAAATTAAGAATAACTCTAGGGGCTGGCCCCATGGCGTAGCGGTTAAGTGTGCACGCTCCGCTGCTGGCGGTCTGGGTTCAGATTCCGGGCGCGCACCAACACACTACTTGTCAGGCCACGCTGTGGCAGCGTCCCATATAAAGTGGAGGAAGATGGGCACGGATGTTAGCCCAGGGCCAGTCTTCCTCAGCAAAAAGAGGAGGATTGGCCTGGATGTTAGCTCAAGGCTGATCTTACTCACAAAAAAAATAAAAAAAGAATAACTCTAGAATGCTCAGTACCAGTCACTAAGGTTTAACAGGTTTTAGATATGTTACCGTATAGATCAAAGGGAAGATGGAGGAAAGAAATAGGAAAGAGAATCCTGGGTTCTTCAGAGGGGTTGATGGCATTGTGAAGGCAACAGAGGAGAGTTAAGAAATAGATGGAAAAATACATGAAAGCCTTAAGAGAAACTGAGTTCCGAAAACGTGAGGGAAGAGAATGAAGACATGTGGGTTACTCTTACTTCTTGACCTAAAGATATATGACAGAAAAGGAAGGAGACAGGTAAAGAAAATCCTTCAGGGGAAAATCTACAGATGTTATAAAAATAGGAATGAACAAGCTTTGAAGTGAACAGTATTAATTAGAAGTAAAAATCACAAGATGGACCCAAGTTGCCGTAGAAAAAAAACTCTCCCTCCCTTTGACTTAGATAGATGGAGAAGTCTAAACGGAAATACATGTAAACATTTTATTTATGAATGACCTTGTTCCCAGCTATAGGTACCAAACAGCCTCCTAATCAGTGACTAGATCCAGAAAACTCAACTCATTGAGAAACAGGAGACTGTCCACTCAGACTCCTCTTTATGGGTATACTGGGCAAAAGAGAAATCTCTGGAAGATCAGCTCGCCACGTTTAAGGATCACGATATAGGAGAAAAACCAGGAAGGGGTAACAGAAACTTAGAAAATAATGTTTCAAGAATGAAAGAGTGACCACAAGGAGATGTCACTTCACATCTAATAGAATGGCTAAAATTAAAAACACTGAAGAAAAAGAAACCACTGAGAGTACCAAATGCTGGCAAGGAACACTGAACTCTCAAACATTGCCAGTGGGAGTATACAGCCATTTTATAAAACTCTTTGGTAATCTCTTATACACCTATCCTAAGATCCAGCAAATGTTCATAGTATTCTTATTCATAACAGCCAAACACCGAAAATAACCCAAATGTCCATCAACAGGAGAATGGATCATCAAACTGTGGTACATTCACACAATGGAACACTACTGAGTAATAAAAAGGAACAAGCTACTGACACACACAACAATATGGATCAATCTCAACCACTGTGCTGAGGGAAAGACAGGAGACACATAAGAGTACAGTCATTCAATGTGATTCCATTTATACGAAGTTCTAGAAGAGGCAAAACTAATCTATGGTGATAAAAATCAGAACAGTGCTTGCACTGGGGTGCAAGGAATGACTAGAAAGGGGCATCCCTAGAGTGATGGAAATGTTCTTTTTTTTTTTTTTTTTTACAGAAAGGCAGACTGCCACATGCAGTGCCTCATTTGGATGTGTCTGGAGTCTTGGAAGCTTGACTACCCTACATTCTCCTACAAATGGACCTTGAGAGCTTGTTTGGAGGTTCTAGCAGGGGAGCACAGCCACTTGTATACCCCTGACAGAAGAATGGTCCTCCTCTATCGGGGAAGGTTGTCCTCTTCAACCGGGCACACACCTTCGGGAGGAAGGGGATACCTGCCTAGCCAGCCAAATCAGCCAAATCAACCCTGGTGATCAATGCGGTGACAGATGTCACAGCCAGATCGCCCTCACATCTGGAAATGTTCTATTCTTGATCGAAGCAGTGGCTACCTGGGTACATCCATTTGTTAAAACTCAAATTGAAGATTTTTAAATGTGTTCATTTTATCATACGTAAATTTTAGCTCACTTTAAAAAAAAGGATAAAAAAGAATGAAGGCATGGACGACCTTGACATAGGCTGCTAGGAGTCAAGAAAGACCGAGAAAAGCAGGTTGTCTGTTTGCCACTGGGGGAATGGAAGCCCAATTTGAACAGAATGAGGAGAGAATGGAGCAAGAAGTAGAGAGAGCAAGTACCGACAGGTTTTTTAAGGAGTATCAAAAAAAGGGTAGAACTTGGTGATAGGCTGACTCAGTAGAACAAAAAATGACTCACCTGTGAATTAAACACCAAAAAACAGGCACCATGCTATGCATAGGACTCCTACTTCCAAGCCCAAATAAGATTAGGAATCAAAAGACCCCACTTCTAAAAATAGAGAAATCAGGCAGGAGAGACTATAAGAGGAAAATGAAGAATTCTCAACCCCGTTTCGTTTCAGACACCAATGAGACATTCAAGCTGCAGGAGAGTGTTTTTTTGTTACTATCCCTTAACAACATTATGTTACATTTGCATAGGACTTAATTTCCAAACACATTTTATACTCACGTTCTCACTAATCCTCACAGCCCCCCTCTAGGATACTGTCAGTGCATTTTAAAAGAGGAGAGGAAATCATGGTTCAGAGAAATTAAATAGCTTGCCCAAGGTCACATAGCTAGGCACATAAACCCACACCTTCTAATTCCAATCAAAAGATATTTCCATTATGCCGCATCTGCTTCTCTCTGCATGATTACAGCCCCTCTTTAGTCCAGCCCAGCACACATTTTTATATCTGTGTCCCTCAAGAAGTCACTACTATTTCCAATGCAGCAAAAACCTGCAGAAACTGGGTAATTTTCAGCCACAGCCCACAAGTTAAAAAAGGGGGGTTACTAATATCCAATTCTAGAATACCTTTAATTGGTCCTATCTTAAACTAGGAGCCTGAGCCCCAGGAGGACAAGATGCTGCAGTGAATTTATGGAGCTTTAAGCACTGCAGCCTGGGCAGCCAACTCTGCAAGTCACCCTCAGAACCAACTAACGTATTTTACCACTGACATGGTCAGCACAGTATAAATATGAGCAAGCAGGCACCCCCACAACCGGGCACTTTACACACCTCTCAACAAAATGCTTCCTCTAGCATTTCCCTTATTCTTATTCCCAAACACAAGAGCTAAGTATTTTCGTTTATGTGATCAGTCTTTAAAGGTTGAGTCAACTCTTTTGCTTTTGCATAGTTATATTTTTCAAGTAGTTTCATAAAAGCAGTATATATATAAGCATATATAAATATGTTTGGTATGTTTGCAGAAAGGAATAACAATTGCAAAACAATACAAACCCTTAATAGGTTATGTTTCTGTAAAATAAAATCTGTATATGAAGGATTAAATCATCTAAATCGCTGTTTACAAGTCTAAAGATGAACTAGTTTGTAGGACAGGAGACAAGGCATTACTAAGATATATTTATTTCTTTTTAAAAACCTTACTTAAGAGCATACAATTAAATTGAGCCATGTTTCCAAAGACAGAGGTGATTAAGTCAGGAGATTCAGCAGCTGGTGGTGTTGCTGCCTGATAGATTAAGGAGTCTCTAAGACACTGCCTGGGACAGCTGGCCCCGAGATGGCCTCTTACCTGGATGCATCTGCTCTGTGCTGCTCCGCAGTTTGCTGTAGCCATGGCTCAAGGGCACCCTCTGGTAATGAGGCGGGGAAGAAGGAGGGGAAGCGAGGGGTGACATCGTGGGAGACTGTGTTTCCTGCTTCAAAGAACCAGAGCAGAGTTCAGAGGCGATCATTCGAGAAGGCTGGTGCTCTGAGCTACAGTGATGAAGTATAACGCAACTCTATTGCTGGTGAGCTGGCTGATTTAACAAATGGAGGAAATGTTTTCTCAAAAACGCAGCTTGGTTAAAAAGCAGTGTCTGAGGATTCAAAGGTCTCCCACAGAATAGTCTTGCCGGGGCTCAGTTACCTAAATTACTAAAACAAGCCTGAAATACTTTCAGTTATGCCAATATTTTCCTTTGGAAAATGAAAGACATTGATCACATGAAAGAACATTCATACTCCCCAATTTTTATCTCTTTGTGGATAGATTCAATTTTGATTCATTAATAAAGGCTCCTATTTCCTGGATTTACACTTATCAAGTCTTCCCTAGCAAATGTGGATATTAAAAAATATTTAAAATGCTCAATGCTACATATTCCTGGAGCTTACTATGCCAAAGTAAAATGCCAGCTTTTTTTTTTTTTTACACTGAGAGATTGCAAAATAATTCATTATGGGTAAACCACTCCAACTAGCCCACTCCTAAACACTAGGATGGAGCCTTAACAAGCTATAATTTGAATTTCAATTCAAATATGAACTTTATGCAGGACCCAAGGCAAGGTAAGCAACCTTACTCTACTACTGGGTTTCCTCCTTTTTTTTAATGATACCAACAGAGTGGTAACTTTAGAGTACCCACGTAATAAGGAAACAGTACTTTTTATCAACACAGAGACTAGACAGGTGCTCTTAGTCTAAAAATATATACGCAATCTGAGATACTGATCAAATACTCTTCTTCAAGAAAAAGAAAAGAATATTTCCTTTGAAGTGTGAGCTCACGCCCACAGATTGAGTGGGCCTAGCATTAACCCAGGCTGAAGTGAAAGAAGTGTCCTCAATCACACAGTCAGGGGATGGGCCTGGAAAGTTCCCAGGGCATCAACCATCCTGGGATAGTGGACTCTCATACCTCTCCAAATGCTGTTGGGAAAACATGCCAAAGAGTATTGACTGAAGATTACTATACTCCTTTATATATATATCCCTGAAGAACTAGTTTAAAATGTATCAGAATTATGAAAGCAACAGTACATGGAGTTATTTAACAGGACATACTATACCTCGCTTAAATATAAAACTTCTGCAGCAACACCTCATATAGCCAGCACTACCAGGGTGAGCCATATAAATTAGTTTTCTGACTTAATCCTTTAATATTTATTGCATTTTGAAAATATTTTGATTCATCTTCCTAAAATATAACACATTTCTTTGCCTTACAGAAGATACTATATCAAATATAATTTGACTTTTCTGCATGATTTTTTGCATCTTTATTAGAAGTATGAGCTTGTACCTTGATGACCTCAGGGTTTACTAATGTGTAAGACTATTTACCTCTTCTTGATAGGCTCACTCTTCTGGAATTTTATACTTTTGTCTCTACCAATCACCACCTGACTATTGCAATTAGTGGCCTAATTTTAAAAGCTCATCTTCCCTATTCTTGTTCCTAACCTACTAAATGTGTAATGGCAGCATTTCCCAAGATGGCATTTCAAACATGCTCCCCAAGAAAGTAAATGCAGATTTCTAGGTCTCTTTATTACAGGACTTCTCGAGGCCTTCAACGTGCTAACGTGCACTGTGAATCTCCAAGACTGAAGATGTAGCCTTTCCCCCAAGAATAGGATATAAAGCAGCGTTCTCCAAACATATTTACCCAGAGAAACCTTCTCTCCCGACTATTTTGGAGGAGAGGACCTATTAAAAACTCCTAGAAGTTACATTTCAAAGAACCTATTTAGAAATGCTGATTAGAGAAATCAGGTAAGTGTGTTAAATCAGTAGCCTTACTTTAGACACAATTCTACATTAAAGTAGGCTCTAAAGGGCCCATGGGGGGCTCATGGTAATTCCTATGCATCAGCCTCTTGTTCTTGCTACAAGGAAATTTGACTGGCTCACTTCCAAGTCTGTAATTGTATCCCAGATGGTGAGATTTGCTGGAAGCTTGACAGCAGGTATGAGGCACTGCTATGTGAGGTTTCATGGTCAGAATCAAACAGACATGCCAGATCAGAGTGTTTACCTGTTTATCCTCATCGTCCATTCTTTTGAAGGTATTTTTTTCCGTGATTAAATATGGAATCTGAACCTTAGTTCCATGCAGCTCAGCTGGGTTCCCAAATCGTATCTCACCATCCGTCTTTGACATCATAAAGCGAGGCAGCGGCAATTCTTTAGGACCAGAATCAGAGACGCTCAAGTGAGACTTTAAAATGTGAAAAGGGGAACTCAATGGCCAAAAGATGAATCACATTTGAGGAAAAATTCCAGAGCACTAAATACAGATTAAATTTTTATTTCAACACAATGAGGACTCCTATTATAATGTCATGATAGAAAAATGCTAGTTTTACCAAGGTATTCCAGCTTAATATTTTTAAATGCTGTCAAATCATCGCAGACCAAATTCAGGTTTTGGACTGATCTCCCACTTCTGCCCTTAGTCCAGCACCAAGAAAAAGGATGTGACATTGTATAAATATAATATTAAGTGACAAATGGTAGCAGGCAAAAACTTATACAGCACTTATTATATGCCAGACATTGTATTAAGATCTGCAAGTATTAACTCATTTAATCCTCACAACAACTTATAAGGTAAGACTATCAGTAGCCTTCTTTGACAGATGTGGAACAGACAAGAAGGAACTAAGTAACATTCCCAAGATCGCACAGCTCATCTGTGGCAGAGCTGGCTCGTAACCAGTGCCAAGTGCTGCTGCCCTACAGAAAGGTCCCTCATTCCTAGGGCAAACTTACTGGATAGAACAATTTCTTACCCTATGTCACTCCTTAAGGAACTTTCACACTCAATCTCCAGTTGTCTTTTCATAATGGAATAAGGAAAATGGTATCAAGTTAGAGCAATCAGTCCAATGTTCAGCCAGATTCTACCATCAAAACCATTAGCCACACTCACAATGCTACAAAGAGCTGAAATGCAACAGTCTGGTATATTTACTTATCTTTCAAATTTCTGACAAAACTATTCTGAAAACAGAAACGATGCTTTGGCACACTTCTAGTTCTCAGCACAGCAAATCACACAGCACAAAGAACTCCAAAAATGGGTATAATATTATGGATTACGCATAATGATTTGCATCTGTATCCATTGTTCAGGATAATACTCATCAGTGTGCCTTTGTGCTTCCATCAGCTCACTATTCCAAAAACACAGCTGTACTTCCAATGATTGATGCTGTGCTAAAGCCAGAAAACATCTTAGCAACAGCAAGCAAGTATCCTAGCTCCCCAGGCAAAGAAAGCCCCTGGTTCTCTAATATCCACATCATGTTTATTTTTAGTTGCTATGTCCACATTTGATTCAAAGAAGTAGGCAATATGACAAATCCCTGCATGATCAATCAGCCAAGGGCCCCAGAGACATAAATAGAATTACCAATCTGGAAAATTAAACCAAGACTCTCCTCTAAAGAGAGGATGACCGCCATTTTTAATGTTTTAATGTTTCCCAACCTCGGCAGCTCTCCAGCACTCAAGGCAGAAAAAGGACTTCAAAAGAAAAAGGCAAAAGAAAAGAAAATCTAGATTCCTCGTAAATCAAATATAAGCTAATCCTATGGTTCTCTTCTCAGAAAGGTGTTTGTTTCAGCTCAGTCTGCAAAAAGGATCTAAAAAGATGGAACAAGATCATATAAAATAATTTGCACCCTGATCTGACCACGAGAGGATGACTCTACCTCCAAACACTATTTGAGGGAGAAAAGAAGTAAATGCTCTCAGCATTTGTAAGCATTTGTATAAAACGCTCCCTGACCAGCGTTTTATTGTTGTTCAACAGATAATTCCGGTAACAGTGGAATACGAACACAGTATGATGAATATCAACTATTAGACTAGGGCTCCCAGATATCCTTCAGGACATGTCACTTCACATATTCTCCTTCCCTGGCTCTGGCAATTCTCCAGAACTGTCCACCTGGGGAAGAACTTCTCTCCCCTAGACAGCCACCAAACAGCAAAAGACAAAATACAGCTGAATTTCTCTCGGACTCTCTTTGGTTATGTGGTTTTAAATGACTCGCACTTAAAATTGTAACCATACATAATATTCCTATGATTGAAAACTTTAATGCAGGTGCCAATTCCCTTCAGCTGGTGCAAGCTTTTAAAAAGTGAAAAGTAAAACTAGTTTGCAAATTTTCAGTCTAATTGTTTTTTCCTAGTCATATATACACCAAATTTAATAGTGAAACTTTATTAGATTAATCAATAAAGTATGTGCTATCCAGTGTTGTATGTCAAGTAATCACAGGAGAAGATCCATTTGTAGTAGTTGGTTAGAATCTTTTCTCCCAAATTGAATTAAATTAACACACAGGAAACAAATTAAGAGTTCAAATTAAATGTTTATAGGGGCCAAGGAGACAATTCGTGCAGCCACCCGAGGCAATAATTTGTTTCATAATGGTACCTTAGGTTGTATTCTTTGAACACAGAAACGCTTTGTATATTAAATATAAATGACTATTTTTCTCTTTCACAAAGAAAACTATGCGTTTCCTTTTTTTAAACATGTGACCTTCTAAAAAGTAAGGGAAAAATCCTGTTTTTCCATGTTTGATGGAGACATGAATATAAGAAATACTTCAATTTTCTCAATCCACTAGAAAAAACATAAGCAGCATAAATGCAATAACAAATGGCAATGACAACAGGGAGGGGTGGGGCTGGGCAGAGAGCTCACATCCCATCTAAAATGGCAGCTGCTGTTCAGTGTTCTTCAACACTGTCCACTAGAAATACAGTTGTCCCTCAGTATCCGTAGGGGGATTGGTTCCAGGACCCCCTCAAACACCAAAATCCATGGACGCTCAAGTCCCTTATATAAAATGGTGTATTTGCATATAACCTACACACATCCTCTCGCATACTTTAAATCATCTCTAAATTACTTATAATACCTAATACAACGCAAATACTATGCAAATAGTTGTTATACTGTATTGTTTAGGAATAATGACAAGGAAAAAAGATCTGTACATGATCAGTACAGACACATCCATCATAGGCCTTGGATCTGAGGTTGGTTAAACCCTTGCGTGTGGAACCTGTGAATACGGAGGGCCAACTGTATAATGCAAGCCACACACACAACTGTAAATTGTGTAGTAGCTACATCACAAAATTTTTTTAAAAGTTAAGAAGCCAATCACAAAAAGACAAATACTGTATGATTTCACTTGTATGAGGGATCAATAAATCGTCAAATTCATAGAGATAGAAAGTAGAATGGTGGTTGCCAGGGGCTGAGGGGAGGGGGAATGGGCAGTTGGTTAATGGGTACCAAGGTGTTTTACAAAGTGTGGTGAAAAAGTTCTGGAGATTGGTTGCACAACAATGTGAATATACTTAACGCTGCTTAACTGTACACTTAAAAATGGTTAAGATGGTAAATTTTATCAAAAATTTTTTTTAATTTTAAGTAAAAAACAGGTGAAATTAATTTTAATATATTTTAACCTAATATTATCATTAAAATATGTAATCAACATAAATTTTATAATCTTTTTTCAAACTAAGTCTTCAAACTCCCATGTGTATTTTACCTATACCATAGACCTCGATTCAGACGTGCCACATTTCAAGTGCTCAATAGCCAGTCACATGTGGCTAGCAACTACCATAACAGACAGAATAGTTTAGATGTTTTTCTAAATGTCTGACAAGGGATTACCAGATTTTATTGCCACAACAACCCTATAAGGTAGGTACTACTGGTATACCCCTTTTCCAGGTGAGCCCTTTGAAGCTCAAAGAGATTAAGAAACTTGCCTGAGGGCACACAAATAAAAAGTGATGGAGCAAAGGTTCAAAATTAGGCAGTCTATTGCTGGGGCCCACATTCTTAGCCACCAGGCTACACTATCATCCTGAAAATTATTCTTTCTATTGCAGGTTTGAATATTCAGCATGAAACTGGCATTTCAGAGCTGGAAAATGGTCTAGAGAAAACCTGGTAGAATATTCACAACTTACAGATGAGGAACTAAGCCCAGGAAGGGGAAGGCAGACCTTGTCCTAGTCATGCAGCAATATGGTGGCAGAGCCACGACCACAACAACACTCCTGCCTCCTGGGGCTCCCTTCTCTTCCCACTACTTTTCATTGCCGATTTATTTATACCAGCTACTTACAAGATAACAAAAAGTAATGACAATAATGTTCTATAATTCCAAAGTGAAGCCACCCCACACATTTTCCTGTAGTTACTTTGGAAAAAACATCAGGTCAGTCATATAAACAAACATGCCCTGAGTGCCCACAATGCCGTGGTTACCAGATCCTCCTCCCTTCCCCTTAGGTAAGCTTGCAGACTAGGGAGGATGACAGACAAAAAATCAGTCAAACCTGTAAAGGAATATTTAGAAACTCTGATAATTGCTATGAAGGAGCAGATGCCGAGACAGAATAAAGTAGGGAGGGGACTGTCACATAGAAGTATTTCCTAACAGGCCCATCCAAGGATTACCTAACTCCCTAGGGATATGCACTTTTGTTTTGACTTACTATTTACTCTCGACTAGGCATTTTACAATTCTGTATGGGTAGATATTAACTTGTAGAAAACTGTTAGCTAACAAATAATTCCCTTCTAATAGCAATGCAAATGAATTTCATCCTAGAAAAGAGTATAATAACCAAGATACAGTTTTATTGCCCTGTAGGGCATTAATCAATTTTATATGTAATTTAGCAATCTTATTCCAGCACTCTTTCTTTCCATGACTATAAATACTTCTGACTCTCCTATACTTTCTTGAACCAGCTTTACTTTATGCTGGTTCCTTCATTAATGAATTAATTTGACAGGAGCTACTTTGGATAGGATGGTGGGAAGTCTCTGAATCCTGAAGGACGAGAAGGAAGAGCCAGCTGTGGGAAGGAGAGGGGAAATAACAGACTTCTAGGAACCCAAGATCTTGAAATAACATGGTCTTTCCTGTAGTAGGATAGAAATGGCCCAGGAGGCTGGGGGGCCACTAGAAGGCCAGTGAGGCTGGGGGACAGATTGCGAGCAAGCGGGAGAGGATTGAGATGAGAGTGGAGAAGCAGACAGAGACTAGATTATGTAGGGCCTTACAAATCAGTGTAGGGACTTTGCATTTGGTACTACGTACAACAAACCAACCACTGGAGGGCTTCAAGGAGGAGGATAAAATGATCTGATGGATATTTTGAAAAGACCACTCTTATTGCTGCGTGGGAAAAGAGACTGGAGTAGAGAAGAGAGTTGGCCAGGAAACCAATGACAAAACCATTGTTATCCAGGTGAGTGGCTGAAGGTGGCCTGGTCTAGTAGGGGCAGAGAGATGGAGCGAACAGGCAGTGCAACTGGAGCCACACTGCCAGGACTTTTGATGAATTATATTGGAGAGTGAGGGAAAAGGGTGAATCAAGGATGACTTCTAGGTCCCTGGCTTGAGCAACTGTAGATGGTGGTAACATTTACCGAAATATGAAAAGCTAGGGGTTAGAGGTTAATACACACATACACACAGGCTCGTGTCATCCATGAAGTAAGGGTGTGACTCTTAGAGAAGTTAACGGTGGACTCACAACTCCCTGAGTATGATGGGACTACCATAGCCTTTCAGAGTAGCTTCTCACAGACCACCCTCTTTGGCCTTCAAGGTTTGTGTCATCAAACATTAAGCTAATGGGTTTCAAGCAACAAATTCGAAAATTCTAAGTGGCAGCTCAAAGTCTGGCCCAATCTTGCCCTCACTCTTACTCAATATATGCTGACTGCAAATAACTTTTATTTAATAAATCATTAAATGAAGGAAGAAAATTCAGAATTCTCTGAGTATACTTAAACCCTCAGAGGTAAAAGGCAGCATCAGGATTTATAAAATACAACTGAGAAAGTCTTATATTTGTGAAAAAGTGTTAATCCTTTATACAAGTGATAACTTAGACAATCCTTCCCCCCCTCCACTCCTCCTACCCCAGGAAATTAAGCTGTAAATATGAGTACAAATCAGGCAAAAGACTTCAGTCTAACAAAGTAAGCAACACAAGTATCAGAAGTTTATCCTGTATACAACAAAGCAGTTCTAACTTTTCCAGAAGATAAAACTGGAAGACACTACAATAAAACTTAATGACCACCTACAATGGAATGGAAACTATCAGTGCCTACCACAAATCCAAACTCAATGTGATGTAACTTTAAACTAATCAAAGCAAGCGACTTATAGCAGGGACTGCTGTCTTGTAGCAATAAACACCAAACCTGCCACTGCAATAACACTCCTTCAAGCAATAAATACCAAACCTGCCACTGAAATAATACTCCTTCAAGAAACCTATTTCAAGGAACCAAATTATGTAATACCGAGGGATGCCTGTTGGGTCAGATTTTTTTCCCCATTTGGAAAATATTCCATGATTACAGATTACAGTCAGCACCTTACTAAACAGAAAGAATAATCAAGAAGAGGCTACTTTGCATAGCAATGAACAGCAAGGGAACTGGAGGCTGAGCTCCTGGCTCCAAACTCTACCAACCTTGCATCCTTAGGCAAGTTACTCAACTCTCTAAACTTCAATTTCCCCATCTGTAAGATAGGGATAAGAACAGTACCACAGTAGAGGCTTCCAGTGTTCACCACAGCCAGTTCTCCTCTTCTTGCATGCACAGGAGAGAATTACACCTCCCCCAGTCTGCTCTGCACTTCAGCGGATCCATGTAACAAGTCCTGGCCAGCGGATCCATGTAACAAGTCCTGGCCAATGCACTGTGAGCAGCAGTAACATGAGTCACATCCAGGCCAAAGCATTTAACTGCTAGGCTGAGAAACTATTTCTCTGTTGCAGCAATTATGGGAACAGGTGCTATGTTGGAGGTGCTATAAGATAAAGCAGTCAGGATCACAGAGCCAACAGGTGGAAGGCAGCTGCCCTAGAGGGTCACCCTGACCCACTGCAGAGCAGAAAGCAAACCTTTGTTTTCTTAAGGCACCGAAATTTCGGTGGTGTTTGTTATCACAGCTTATTCTAGGCAATGCAAATTGACACAAATACCTAATTGAGTAGGATGTTGTGAGGACTAAATGAGACAGTGCCTGGCACACACACTAAGCCTTTAATAAAGATTAGCAGGACGATCTAATGATGGTTAGTGCAAAAGGGCTTTGTTTCCCACAGTCAAGCTATCAGAATCTTCTCAGCTATTTGGAGTTGTCCTAGAAGGTAACCTTCTAGGTTACCATGGACCAACCAACCATAAACCCTGAACCAACTTCAAGGGCTACCAGGGACTTCACAGGACAGGCAACAGGTGAGTGGTTTTGACCTCAAAATGAGGAAAAGGAAAAAGTTCCTGCATGGCTGTGTGGACATATGAAAGTAATTTGTATCAGAATGAATTAAGGGAGGACCTCAGCACATCCCTTGAATAATCACCTTCTTCATACAGATTTGTAAAACCAATACTGAGGCAGTATAAAAGATGCTAAGAGTTGGGAACTTTGCTTCTGGTTTAAGTTGTGGAAAGTGCTCAAGTATACAGTGGGTTGGGGAAGGGATGGCAAGATAAGAAAATGTTAAATCAAAACTTGGAGAAGATAAATTTACTCTGCCTAAATTTTGGTAGCCCCAAAGTACTTAATAATCATGAGAACAGTGCTTCAGGAATTGGGGAATTAAAGGATGATCACATCTGATATGACTGGTAGGGACAGGAGAGAGAGAAAAGGGGCAGTTTCACTCAAACTCTCCCAGTTACTCATCCCCTTGTCCCTAACAGAGCCTTAAAATGACAATATAGATTCCTCAAGTAAAAAATTAAACTGAATGTTGTTATTTTGCCAGAGGCTCTAGAATTCTTGTCCCAATCTCTTTCTGCTAAGAATAAAATCTATTTTAACTGCAAGTCAGTTAAAAGGAACTAATCTCAAGTTGCTCTCTGAATTTTTTTCCCATTTAAAAAAGAAAACAAGGAAACAAAGATACCTGCTAAGTTTTCTTATTTTATTTTACAGAAGAGTTGGAGAAGCAAGGAGAAATTCCACAAATGCTTATAGAACAGGCCTTAAACCCATAAAAATGATGCTTATAAATAAGAAATCTGTCATGGACAAAAAAAATGTATAAATGGGAGATACTTACCACATTTAATACTCTCCATCCGCACAGGGAGGCCAGACTGTGCTGCAGCAATTAATTTCAAGGCAACGTAAAACTGTGTTGGACCAAAATAACCAATCCGCTTGGCACCACACAGTTCTGTGATCTGAAAACAGACAAGAAAAACAATGCTGAAAACCCCATTTCATAACAGGAAAATGAGACAAGATATATTATGAAATCTCAAGGATTTCAGTGTAGCTAACCTAAAAGTCCCTGGAGAACCTATTTGAACACACTGGTCCGTTTCTTTCTTCTCCAGTTTACAGGGAGGTTTTCAATTTGGATAATTAAATTCTACCCACTCATGATGTTTCAGGACTGAGTGGTTATTCCTCCTCTTTCAAAGATAAAAATAAAAGTGACAAAGGATGGCTGTTAGTCTTCTTACAAAAGAGAGTGACTTTTTCAGGGGGTGGATTCTAATGTACGAAGTCTAGAAAGTCACTGAGGTGAAAAGAGAATAGATTAGTCATTACCACTACTTGTGGATTATCCTAGTTGATCAAAATTAAAAGTGAATTATATTTCAAGTCCTCATGCAAAATGATTTCCTAAGCATTAAAATTACATCTTGAGTGCTCACTTCAGAGAAACAAAAAAGAAATACTATATACACAAATATTTTCAAGATACTGCAGTCTTTCATTTGCAGACTTTAACACATATCCTACTGGTAGTTTAATAATAAATTGAATATTCAATTACTTTTTAAAAGTTATTTCAAAGTAACAGATACTCGAGAGTTCAAATAATAAGTGGGGGTGAAGAACTAAAAAGCACCCCCTACTTTCTATGCTCCAGAGGAAAACACTATATTCTTCTAAAAATGTTCTATATATATATAGATATAGCACACACCTGTGTTTTTCCTGTTGTCTATTCAATACTTGATACAAATAGAATACCACATACTATTTTGCAACTTGTTTTCCATTTAGCACTATCCCTTGAATATTTTTCTCTATTGGCACAGTTAAAATCACCTCATTGTTTTAACAACTGCCTAATATTCTGCTATAGAGATACACGATGGTTTTTTTTTATTGTTAATTGGTTCTTATGAATGGGCTTGTAGATTTCCAATAACTAAATACCAGAAGCGCTTTCAGAATAAACTATAAACATCCATTAATTGATCTTAAGAAAATTCCTATAAAAATTCAACTTGAATGTCAGCAAAAAATGGCGGAATAAGGGCCTCTAAAATTCTCTCCATCAAAGCAATGAGAAAATCGACTAAAATGGACAGAACTCTGGAAATTAACCAAGGGCTTGTAGCAATCCAAGGAGTGTTTATTCAAGAAAAACAGCTGAATCTCAGGAAGAACAGCGAGCTTTGTGGCATTTTAACTAGCCTTACTCCCATTCTCCCCCACCGCCACTCAGGGTATTTTCACTGGACTGCAGGCATCCCCAGTCTGCACTCACAGGAGACAAGCAGCCTGGCAGCCAACGGAGGGGGCAGGACAGGGCTAGGATTCTTGGATGTGTAGATTACTGTTTTTCATCAAATTAGGGTAGTTTTCAGCCATTATTTCTTCAAACATCTTTTTTTCTCTCTCTCTCTCTCCTCCTTCTGGTATTTCCAGTAGCCCGCGGTCCACCTCTCCTAACCCTCGTCTAGGAGCCAGGGCTGGCGAGGAGGGAACCTCGTCTTCTTGGCTATTCCCGCCAGGAATAAAGCTTTCATCATATGCAAGCAGTGGGAAAGGGGAGCAGGTAGTAGCTCAAATGCTGCAGACTGGCAGTTCTTACCAAGACTTAGTAGATTTTCTTGAATAAATGTTTCTCCATTTGCTGTATGTCCTCAGGTCAATTTCCAGAGACTTTAAATGATTATTTTTTATAATTTTTACCAGTTAAGAGGTTGTTTCACTGGGGAGAGGGTATGCTTAGTTTCTCACACTGCCATTCCAAGTCTCAACCCTCCCCAGATTCATTCTTAAGTGGAGAAGCAATAGGATGTTATGGTAAAGAGAACAGCCCTTGGAGTAAATGACTTAGGTATAAATCCTGGCCCTAGCACTAATCAGCTGTTTGTATAACCTAAGGCAAGTTACTTAACTCTTGTGCCTCAGTCTCCCCATAAGGGTAAATGAGGATAACACTGCTTATCTCCTGACGGCTAAAGTAGCAGTGCTGACAAGTGTCCATTCAATCAATGTGCCATTGTCTACTAGATTGGTCTACTTGTCTTATTTTTTCCCACTCCAGCTCCATACTAGAATAACCTGAGGAGCTTTTGAAATATACAGATACCTAGGCCCCACCCCCAAAGATTCTGCTTTAATTGATCAGTGGTATGGCCCAGGCATGGGTATTTTTGTAAAGCTCTCAAGATGATTCTAACGTGCAGCCAAGGTTGAGAAGCACTGCTCTTTGAGTGATCTCATTCTCTCTCCAGGCTTCAATTACCATCCAAATGCTAATGATCACCAAATCACTCTCTCCAAACCTAATATTGCAGACACTTTGTGAACTTTTCCAAAACCCTACCCGACTTCTCTACATGGATACTCTAAGCCATCTCAGACATATAATCAATAAACCTCACTCATTTGCCCCTCCCCACACAACCTTGAACCTGCTCATCTTTCAGTAGCCCTCAGCTCAGTTGCTGACATCAACCATTGCATATCCCAAATCAGAAACTTCATCTTCGACACTAACCATGTCCAATTGATTCTACCGAAGAACCATCTCCCAAATCAAGCCTATCTTCTCCTTCGCCACTGCCTTAGTTTAATCCTTCCTAATATCTCACTTGGCTATCATGACAGACTGTTTAAATAGAACTCATGCATTTAACCATACAGGGAAAGATTTCTGGTTTAACTTTTTTTTTTTTACTTTATTCCATTAGTTGGTGTTCTTCTCTCAACAAAAGGGGCAAGCACTGAGAGAGGTCCAGAATCCCTGAGTGTGACTTTCAGATAATAATGTGTCAGTCTTCCTCAAGTGAGCAAGTAGGCATCAATACTTACCAGCAGAATTTGTTTCTAGAAATGTTACTCTTTGAAACTTAAAAAATTTTCTCTACTAATTTATATATTTAGCTTTTATTGAAGTATAATATTCATATAGAAAAGCATAATACACATACAGAAAAGCATACAAATCATAAGAAAAGCATACAAATCACAGCATATAGTTAGATGGGTTTTCATAAATTGAACAACTAGGTAACTAGCACACAGATCAAGAAATAAAACATTACAAGCCTTCTAAAAGCCCCTCTTTGCAGCTCCTTTCAATCACTACCCACACATTTTCCTAACTTCTAATACCACAGATTAGTCTTGCCTATTTCTGAACTTTATATAAATGGAATCATAGAGTATGTACCCTCATGTCTGACTTCTTCATTCAATGTTGTTTGTGACATTTTTCCAAGTTATTGAATGAAATCACGGTTCACTCATTTTTGTTGTTATTCAGTACTTGTGTGAATATATCACAAATTATTTATCCTTCTGCCACTGGACATTTGGATGGTTTCCAGTTTGGGTGTATTCTGAATAGTGCTGTAATATTCTACCACATGTCTTGTCAAAACATGTGGAATGGAATACATTAGAGTGAAATAACATTTCTCTTTGGTTTATACCTAGGAGTGGGAACTGCTGGCTTACAAGACATACGTATGTTCACCTTTAGTAGATATGGCCACACTGCCACCATCAGTATTTGAGAATTCAGATTGCTTCGTGTCTTTGCCAACATTTGGTATTTTTTAGCTTTTTCATTTTCACCATTCTGATGAAACTGTGGTAGTACCCCATTGTAGTTTTAGTTTGCATTTTCCTGAGAACCATGAAGTTCAGCACCTTTTCATATGAGCATATGTATTAGGTTCTGAAACTAATACCAACAAGTGGAGGGTGGGTTTCCCACACAGCACCAAGTAATTCTCCAACACAAGCTGGATGTCTTACAATTCAACTCATTTCTGACACTATCTACCAGAAATAGCATCAGATTCCACAGGTTGAAAGCTCAGTCCTACAAGACTGCACCTCCCCCTACTTCAGACTCCAGTCGCAAGTCCAGGTTGTCACCTGTGCTTCTGACCAACTGGCTATAAATCAGAGGTTCCCATGACACCCCTCCTCAGGTTTGATTAATTTGCTAGAGCGGCTCATAGAAGTCAGAGAAACATTTTCCTTACTCGATTACTGGTTTATTATAAAAGGATATAACTCAGGAACAGCCAGATGGAAGAGATGCATAGGGCAAGGTATGGGGAAAGGGTGAGGAGTTTCCATGCTCTCTCCAGGTGTGCCGCTCTCCCCAAATCCCCATGTGTTCACCAACCCGGAAGCTCTCCAAATCCTGTCCTTTTGGAGTTTTATGGAGGTTTCATTACATAATCATGACTGATTATCATTGGCCACTGGCAACTGATGGGTGGGAGCAGAGGGCTGAAAGTTCTAATCCTCTAATCATGTGGTTGGTTCCCTTGGCAACCCATCCTTAGGTTACCTACAGGCTTTCCAAAAGTCACCTTATTAACATAACAAAAGACACCTTTATCATAGGAAATTCCGAGGGTTTTAGGAGCTCTGTGCCAGGAACCGGGTCTAGGGCCAAATATATATTTATTATTATAAATCACAGAAGGCCATTTGCATGTGACTGATTCTCTACTAAACTAAGCTCCATGAAATAGGGAGATGTGTGTTTTGTTCATCAGTTCATTCCCTCCCATATTGTTTGTGCTTAATAAACAGTGGTTGAATAAATAATTTTCCTGAACCAGTCTCTCTTCAGCTCCCCTTCCAATTCTGCATCATCCTCCATAGTACCTGCATACTCTTCTTTTTAAAAGCTGACAATACTCTTCCCATGCTTAAATACATCTCAGCCTGCATCCTCACCACCCTCAAGACAAAATCCTATCTCCTTAGTCTGGCATTAAAGTCCCTTCACAACCTGGCCCTGAGCAGCTTCTCTAGTTTCATCCCCCATACACACAATTCTGTAGCTGCATTCAGCTTCTCCCACTTTCCCAAACACATCTTGCCCTTTTACATCTCTGTATCTAGTGCACCTGGTGCAGAAGATGGAAAACTAAATAGCCTTGAGGTCAAGGTTGGTTTTCAA